TAATACTATTACCAATGAGCACAAAATTTAACTTTGAGCTTCCTAGAGGTTAGGGCAAAAATAAAATCTTACTGAATCACATGACCTTCATAGTTTTTCCTCTTGCTTTTTTTTTTTCTTTGACAAAATACCCTCAGATTCTATACTCTTGCTTTTTTTGATAGTAGGAAATGCATTAGAATTTTCCTGGTCCTAAACTCTGGGAGTCATGGGGTATTTACAGTCTTTATTTTTTTTTTATCTTAATCTAACTTTTATTGAGTACAAAAATTGATGATATTCCCTTATAATTTAAAAACATTAAATTTAATAACAATGCTTTTATGGTTAATGTACTTATATGCAAAGATTATTCATATCCTTAGAACTGTGATAGAGTTTTTGTGTACAAATATAAATCTCATCTTCCACGGACACGTGGGAAATTTAAAAGGTTTTCTTTGTATCCTTATGCAAAGATGTTTGTGTAGTTCTAGAAGAATTTATGTCTATAGGATCCTCTTCAGATGATGTAGAGGAGCTGCTGAGTAGGATCTTTTCTGGGAGCCTGTTCCATGGACGTATGGCTCTTGTCATGTCATGCTATAAAAGCTGTTGACAAGAAGCAGCAGTTTTACATGTTGAAAAAGCTTGAAAGGAATATTTCAGTGAAACCTTTTATAGACGGAGTGTTTTCTTGTAGCTTTTCAAAGCAGTGGTCAATGTAGTTGGAATCTGGCTTAATGATTCATTTTTCTTACAAAGTCAGTTGATTTTTTTCCATGCATTTGTTTCCATTGACTCCTTACTTTCCCATGATGACTTAGGAAAAATAATCAATGAGAATCTAAATAAAATGGCTTGGCACCATGGGAACACTGATATTTTTATACTTCGGTCAGTGAGACAATATATTAAAAGTACCCATGTGGTATTTGGTGCCTGGTAGGTATGCCCCGGTCAGTGCTTTTTCTTACTGCCCTCTTTGTTTGCTTGTTTTGGTATTTTGTTATATGCAAAGCCATATTTTGGATAATTACCCATTGGTATTGGCCAGGAAAGGCAGTGCCGGAGCACGGCATAGCTGAAGGTAACCTTGCTTTTGGTGACTGCAGGCTGTGGCCGCAGCTCCTGTATTGATGCCCTCCTTTCAGTATTTCTTCACTCCTGACCTCTCTGCCACTTGTTGTAGCTCGGGACAGACAGGAGGCACTGAGCTGACCTGTCCCCGTCATTCCTGGGTTTCCTTTGTAGCCACGCGAAGGAAAGGAGATGCTGGAATTCACATCACTCTTTCCCTACCGTATCTTAGGCCAAAATCCTTAACACATGTCACCAAAATCCTTAACACATGTAGTCCATTTTATATGTCCCAAGAATGGCAGTCCATTCACTGTTTCAAGATACTATTCCTAGATCCAACTTCTGAGGATGCTCTACTTGTTAGAATCCACCGTGTATAATTTCAGTCTCACTCCAGAATGTCTTCCCTTCCTGCCTTGGCTCTGTGATTGTCATGACCCAGAAATAAATGCATATTTTCAAAGCTGTTTCAATTTTACTAAATTCAGTGTGTTTCTCTGTCGAAGACCTCACCTTGTTCTCACGATTAATAACTGCTTTAGATGGAAATCATCTTTTATGTTTTGGAATGAGCGGGGATTTGGTGGGGTGGGGGCTGACGAAGAGAGAGCAGATGAATGGGTCAACACAGACATAGTAAAAGGTTCTGATCCTTTGGGAGGAAGGGGAACAATAACAAAACCCCGACGTACTATATTTTATCTGTTATGTCTGCTGAGAGATTAGGGTCAGGACCCAGAAACTTTGCGCTATCTCCTGGTGTTTGTTTCAGTTCAGGTGGGGTGGCCTTTCCCTTCGATGGGTCATTTCCTTCTCTCTTTTCACATTCCAGGCTGCATTAAGATGACAAATTTCACTTATAGGCTCGGGCACAGACATGAAAACCTAAGCTTTTCGGTGAACTGAGTGAGTGCAGATGAGTCAATTTATTGTGGGGGAGAGGCCGGGTTTGCAGAGCACAGAAGATTTTGAGAGCCAGGCTCTGCAACAGAACACACATAGCATGGACTGGGCCCTGCCCCCAGCCGCAGACTCTGCTCTGATGCCTCATCGAGCCTCTCAAGGGTGGAAGAGAACTGTTAACGTAATTAAGAAATTTCTTCAAAGCACCCCCCACCACCACCTATCTGGGACTCACAGATCAAACTTGATTTTAGAGATAACCTTATAGTGGGTTTTGCAGAAATATTTAGGGTGCAATAAGTAGAATAAAGGTCTTGTGTTCTCTTCTATCTGTGAACTCTGCAATAAATACTTCTCTTCTCCTACCCTGCCTTTAGGAGAGGGGGAGAAAAAAAAATCTTGGACAGCAAAGAACAAGTCCATCAGATCAAACATGACTGCGTTAAATACTAAAATGTTCAAAGTCCGACTGAGATAGATAAAAGCTTTGATGGAAAGTGGATATTTCCCAGGGACATTACAAGCAATAATCCAGATGTTATGGTGTAATGCAACGAGTGTCCGTGGATAGACCAGGAGCTCCAGCCAAGCCGCGCCTGATACAGGCCTCAGCCGTGCCCTCCCATGCTGTTCCGCCATATGGAACCGATCTCTAGGCCCCCTTAATAACCAGCTTTGGATTCCATTTTCACAGAGCTCATAGAGCTAAGTGGGGCTTTTTTATGGACAAGTTAGATAGAAGCCTTTCCAAGATAAACATCCAATTTGAAATTAGGACATACCAAGCCGCAAAATTATTTTAGGGCATATTTCATGGAAGTGCTGCCATTTTTCTTAGGCAATTGCCAGACTGTAGGATGCCCTTTGATCCTTTGTGGACATTACTCCCTTTTTTATAAAAAGGATTGTGAAATAGTTGCAGTGTTTAGGGAGGAATATATCTGTCGGAACTTTGAAGCATGGCCGTGGGACAGGTCATACTTTAGCTTGTTGGTTGGCAAGTCAAACTTTAAGAAGAAGAAAAAAAAAGCGAAAAGAGGAATTGTGGCAGGATCTATGAATCAAAATCTCATTTTTGTTCTAAAGGTGGAAGTTTTCAGCCCATGTACTTAATAAACTATAAAATGTATTAGGTATGTCTACATCTATTTATACATCTATAGATATATATACACATGTACATATATATATATTGTGATGCTGTGTGTCATTTTTAGCAAATGTAAAGTTGCTTAATTTCAACTATTTCATAAACCTTCATTATTAATTATGTTCTATCTGGAATATATGTATATGTAGGTGTGTATATGTATGTATCTGCAGGGGTGTGTGTGTATGTATGTGTGTGTGTATGTATATGCAGGGGTGTGTGTGTATTATATATATTTAGAACTGAAGAAGAAATTATTAATGTTTACCAGAGGAGAGGCTTTTTGTTTTTCTTTTTAATTAGTTCTTTCCACATTTGCCCTCCCTGATCTGTCTGGGCACCTCTCAAACCTGTGTGTGTCTGTGTGTGTGTGTGTGTGTGTGTGTGTGTGTGTATTCCAAGAGAAAAGCAACATAGATATGAAGTTTGGGAATATATATTCCTTAAATGTATTTTGCTTAAGGTCATCACAAAACGATCAACAAAATGCCCGGAGTGGCGTTGTTGCATCGTTTATTAAGAGTGATGGAGTGATGTGGGTTCGATGAGGTAAGCTGGTATATAATTAATATGGTCTGACATACCATTTGTTGTGATAAATTGTGACTAACTGGTGTCCGAGCAAATTGGTGTCTAAATGATCTGGAAGATATAGTGAGCAGATGACGGGAACGGATATATAGTGTCAGAAATTCATCCCTTTACTGTGGTGCTCAGTGCCATTTATACTCTTCAGCCCGTTTATTTCTCCTTCAACGAAAGAAGTCTATCCTTGTGCCATTGTCACTTACTGAATGGAAAAGGCAAATGAACTCCACCAACTAAATGCACGTGGGGATGCTAGCTCAAACAAGCTACCCGTGAAAAGCCACGGTTGCATGTGAATATGCACTAGGTACTGGATGATATTAAGGAAATTATGGTTAATTTTGTTGAGTGTGCTCACAATGTGCTGGTGATATAAAAGCAAGTATGGATTTTGCTTTAGAATATTTCAGCCAGAAAAAATAACAAAGGGCTAGGAGGAATGAGCTTGGCAAAATGTTGAATTTAGTGAATAATCACATGGAGATTTATTATACTATTCTCTTTACCTTTGTGTATGTTTCAAAATTTATATAACGGAAATTAAAAATAAAGTGTTGGTATTCTCTTTATAATTTAATAACAGGATGTTTGCCCTTTTTTAAAATAAGGTGTATATTATTGTGTATGAGTAATATAGTTTAGAAAAGGATAAAAAAGAAACTCACCCAAGTTAATAGTTCCTGAGCCCCTACTGGGTTATAGGCACTCTGAGATGTATTGGAGACATCCCATTCACCGGCCCACCCCACCTCTGCAAAGGCATTTACACAGCTAGGCCAATGTAGGCTGTATTTGGAGTTGCAAATTTCACGGTAGCGTTGGGCTTTTAGTGGTAGCCCAAGGATTGAAGGGAAGTAGGGACAGATTCAAATGTGAAGGATTAATTCAAAGCCATTATTTCTAAATGCCCAGGAGTATTTTGTTTCCTTTCAAAGCAATGCCTCGTTTCTTATATCTGTTTCCCAGAATGCCTTTCTTTCCTTCATACTATTAAAGTAGCTAAATACCCAGTTTAAGGATCGCTACCAAAGAGCACACTGGGTGGGAGTACAGGCCGGTGCCAAATCAAAGTGTTGCTTATTTTCATGCTTCACTACATTATTACAAGTCCAAAGCCCGAGAAGAAAGTCTCATAACTGTGACTGCAGGTTTGCAAAACCAATGAAGAGTAACACTTTTCACCGGGCAGGGAGTGACTTTTATAATCAAATACTGAAACCTGGAATTCCTATGATCACCAAAGTCACTCTCAAGAATTATCAGCAAGTTTATATGTCATCTTTATTTTTCGCTTTAGTCCTCTTTGATACGCAACCTACGGCTCTCAGAGTCCTTGAAAAAGAACCAGCTCTGGAATGGGATTATAAGTATAACTTTGTTGGAAGGGAAGAATGTCTCAGGAGGAAACATGACAGAGATATTTGTCCAGTTAAAACTGGGAGATCAGAGATACAAAAGTAAGGTAAGTTCTACAAATTCCATGAGGAGAACAGTATCTTTAAGAGTAAACATAGATTAAAAATTGTTTTACCACTTTAAATTTCACAAGAATAGAAGTAATTTATATTTAGCACTCCTAACTATATAAGGAGCATCCCAGAAAACAAAATAATTGTATAGATGTAGTCAATTAATGTGGGTATTGTTTTGATTGCTTAGTATAATTTAATATAGTCACTCAGAGCGAAAGAAAGCTTATTAAATCATAGATGTGAATGCATGATTTATGTTCATTTTGAAAATAAGCCATGTTTCATAGAATTTGAAAAAAGGGTAACTAAGTGTTTTCAAAATGCTACAAAAATAAAATTTCATGTGTTATTTGGATTAAAATATTTGAGATAACTGAAAACATTTTCAAAATCATATACCCTTTGCTTTCTCTTGTTAGTCTTAAGGCTAAAAATACATATCTAGTGTTGCTGTTTTTTGCTGTGTTTCTTTAACAAAAACTAAAGTATTAAAAATGATTTGTTTTAAACAAAAGTAATGGCATTTTTAACTATCTTTGAGAATAATTCATCTTATTCTGCCCATCCAAATTCCATTTAAGTTTTAATTTTAGTAATTTGGTGTGAATTATATTTCAAAAACCATAGTCTCCACACCATGGTAATTAATTAGTTTTACATAACTGTCAGACAGGAATATTTCCTATGTTTTATGCATTGAGGGAGGTAGGGTACTTGAAAGTTAAATCACTTGCCAAAAGCTACATTGAAAAGAAAGAAAACACTAGAAGATTTTGAAAATAGACCCAAAGATATTTGCCATTTGGACCTTTCCAGCATCCAAGACATACCAGGTACAGACAAGTTGGAAAATGATTTAGGGAGGCAAGAGGTTGTCTGTGCTGCATGAGTTTCAGTGTAAAATCAAATATTAGACATCATTTACTTGAGCACAAAGCAATAGAGAATTGAGGCTCACGTTAAAGAATAGTTTATTAAAAATGTGAAAAATTGAGGGTGAGCTATAACCAGAAATCTGTAGATAATTATTTTGACCAGGCAATTTTAGGCTGTGCCTTAGAGTGAGTGTATCCAGGGTAACCACATTTCTCTACTAAGATTCCTTTAGCTGGCCAGGGTCAGGCTAAGGATTTATGGAAAAATTATTCCTCACTAAGCACACTTAGCCCTTTGGACTAAGGTGAAGTGTAGAATTAGTCCAATATCTGCTACATTCCCCTTTGGGGAATACTGCATTTAATTTGTGGTCTAATAGGTTTTTTCCCCCCTGCCTGGTTTCTAAATTCTATGATCTGATATATTAAGCCTGATGTGAAAAACAGCTTAAATGATTTTACGTGACATTGGCTACAGCTGAGGTCTGAGTTGCCCATGTTATTCCTATGCAGGAATAGTTGGTGCTAGGATTTAATACTTGATGCTGTGCCCTTACAGCCTGAGGATACTTAGTGGCCAACATTTTTGCTCACTTTTTATTCACAAATTGTATCTCTATGTAAATGAAATCAGAATGAAAATCCTGCCAATGAACTAAACACAGAAGCAGTTTGAAATCACTTTTTAGAGAACATAGAAACACTTGTGGGGGTTCCAAACCACTCTCATTAATTTTTAGGTTTGGCTGCCATGGAATTTCCTAGTCTTCCTCCCACCCTAGTGGCTGGATTCAGGAACTTTGTATTTAAAAAGAGGCAGCAATGTATAAGTTATGAGTTTCTTATTTAATGCATTTGGCAGATGTTAATTGAGAACCCAGACTGTTAATTTATATAGTTCTTAAGCTAGCATTGAATGGGTATGCCAACAAAAATGTTACTTGCCTTTGTTTAACCAATTAGTGTCACCATCTTTAGGACAAAAATCACAAAGTGTCTATTGATATATGTCCAGTGTGTGTGTGTGTGTATATATATATACACACAGATATACAGGGACACATGTTATTTATGGTTTCTTGTGAGCTAACAGTATTCTTTGTAACTTGGTGGATAAATTATTGAATCTGGGGGCCAGATAAAAAGAGCAGTAATGTTTTGTCAATTCCTGAACCCTCTGAGTCCCTTTCATTGCAGAAAGGAAAGCTTGACTTTATAAGGGGTGAGATCCATCTTCACGGTCTCCTGCAGTTTAGAAATGAAATGAATGTGTAGCTGCTGTAGCAATGAATGACGTTTTAAAAGAAAATAAATACTATAACTGCATGTTTTCTAGACACTGTGTAAGAGTGCAAATCCGCTGTGGCAGGAACAGTTTGACTTTCACTACTTCTCTGACAGGATGGGCATTTTGGACATTGAAGTGTGGGGAAAGGACAGCAAAAAACGCGAGGAGCGTCTGGGCACGTGAGTCGCCTCTGCTTTCCAAGCGGTGGGAACTTGTTTCTGGGTGGGGCAGGTCCTTGAGAGAATGTCTTCAACCAGCTAGGGAATCCCCATCCCAAGAGCCATCGGTAAGCCCGATGGTCAGTCCTAACTCTGGGAAAGTTTTGCTTGTTACTTTATGTATTTATTTTTAAATTGGTAGTTGTCATCTGGTATTGATTAAAATAAAGGAAAATGGTTTGTGTCAAGAATTCTCCAAAGAAATATATTGTGCCATCTTAAGACTATTTGGGAGATATTCATATACATTTCCAATATTCCATAAAAATTTGGTTTGGCTACTTAGTGAAATATTGTATATAATTTGGTAAAGATATAAGGGTAGGTGTCTCCCCCCACCCCCACCCCACCACATAATGGAAACTTTTCAGTCTCCCTGATATGCTGTGTAGCAAACTATAACAGAATCTATTGAGGTGTTTACTTTCGCCCCTCCTGACTGAATGGAGACACTCAGCCATATATAAAGAATAATAATAGGCTGGGTGCAGTGGCTCACACCTGTAAATAATCCTCACACTCTGAAAGGTCAAGGTGGGAGGGTACCTTGAGCTCAGGAGTTCAAGACCAGCCTAAGCAACAGTGAAACACCGTCTCTACTAAACATAGAAAAATTAACCAGGCATCGTGGCATGCACCTGTAGGCCCAGCTACTCAGGAGGCTGAGGCAGGAGGATCACTTGAGCCCAGGAGTTTGAGGTGGCTGTGAGCTAAGCTGATGCCAGGGCACTCTACTCATGGCAACAGAGTGAGACTCTGTCTCAAAGAAAAGAACAATAATATCAGTATTATAGCTTCTTCATAAGGTGACAGTGAAGAATACAATGAAATGAGTCAATGCTTACCCTGTGACTGCCCCGTAGTAAGCACAAAGGAGATCCTGGTAGAAGCACATGTCATCTCTGACCTTCAGAACACCCCTGCAAGTTAGTGGCATCATGCTTATTTTAAGGAAATGGAGCTTAAGAAGTTTACAAATAACTTGGCCATGAACTTAAGAACAAGGAGTTCTAGGGTCAGGATATTGTGTTTTCAAAACAAAGTTTTTTCTGTCAAATTACTGCCTTTTGCTCATTCCGTATACATTCAATTTGTACATAGATCTTAAGTTTAGAACACAAATGTTTAAAGGGATTGCAACAGCTGTTGATTGTCTTTTTCAAAGCTGAACCTTGGGTTCAGGGACATGCCTTGAGGTCACTCATTGAGGAATAGGAGAGCATACTGCCCCTTCTCCACTGCAGTCAGAGTGTCTCAACTTTTGCCTGTGCTCTATGCAGGAATTTCATTTGAAGGAAAGGTTTTATTGCTGAAAACTAAAGATGGAAAACCCCTCATCTAGTATAACCCCTTCTTTTTACAGATGAGGAAATGTAGAGGGTTAGGGAGGTGAAATGTTTTTCCAGCAGCAAGGAATTTATAGGAAGAAATGGGAAAAGACCCCGCTAACCTAGTACATTGTGCAGTGCTCTTGCTACTTAGCACAGTGTCTGGCTGCGGGCTGTCATCGCCCCATCCCACCTCATTATCTGGAGATAGATGAGTAGGGATTTCAGCCATGAGACATTCCTCCAGTGTTTCTCAGTAGGGGTGCTCTGTTGCATGGTCCTGTCTGGTATGTTGTGGGATGTTTTGCAAACCTGGGACTCATCTCCCTGTTGCCAGTCACTTTCTCCAGTCATTGCATGGGAAACATACACAAGTACATGTGTGCATACATACACACAGCATGCCTGCATTCCATCATACGTGTACAAGTAACTCTTAGGGGACCAGCACTGCCACCACTTGAGACTGTTGCAGCTCATCGTTTGCATCCTTGGTTGCATTGCTTTGCACTGTCTCTTCATTCTCAATTCTATGCTTAACTGTTAGGTCACCATCATTGCTTACTTGGCCCTCTCCCAGGCCTGGTTTATACGTTTGAATAGCAAACGAGGTAACGCCACACTCTCTAGCTCATGCAGGAGGTCTTCCTGTGGTCTAGCATTTTGTTAGACACTGCCTGTAAGGTTACAGTCTGACCTTATTTTTTCCTCCTTCACGCACACGGGGACGACTGAGATACCTTAGACACTTTTCAGTACCTCTCACATGCTTGCTACTGTGACATACCAGGTCCCTGCCAACATTGGTGGCAGGAGGACCTGAAACTTTGCGTTAGCCCACAGAGCAAGGGTAAGTTATGGGAATGTTGAGAACTCTGTGTCCCAAAGTGTTATCTGAACAGTGGGACTTAGGGCCTCCTGTGATGAATGGCCGACATGTAATTTTAGTAGGTGCAGGGAAGAATGCCCCTCACCTCACATGTCATTGTGCTGTCATGTTTCCTTCACATAATAGGAAATGCTTTTCTAAATGATTGTTGGGTTGCTTCATTGAGACAAAGAATAATTTAAGATGTCCTTTTTATTCCATGTTTTGTCATTTGGGTATTCATTTATTATTTTAGCTATTTCCTGTTTGTAACCAAGGCATATACCTGCCTAGTGGCCATTCTGTTCTTCCTCTTTATGGACTTTAAAGTATTTTTTTTTTTGGTATCCTTTTCCTTTTTCCTCTCCCGTAATACAAAAGATAACAAAAGTATCTCCTGGGAACTGGCTCCACAGTGAACTTGCAGGTGGGCAAAACCTACTCTAAGATATCTACTGCTTCTCAGAGCTACAAGAAAGATAGTGCTAGCATATGCATATCTCTGACACGTTTCTTGTGACTTATGGTTCTTTCTTAAGAGCTACTTTGTAAACATTTCATCGATTTTTTTCACCTTCCCTTTTCTTTGTGCTCTTCATTCTAAGGCTCAGCTATTTTATCTTTCAACTGTTGGGAAAACACCTTTTTGCATCAGGAAGCTCTCCAACAGTGAGAATGAATCTTAACTGTGTCTTAAGGCCTGTCTTATATTTTGTTTGTGGATGAACACTTTGATGTTCACAATTTAACATTGGCATTAAAGCTCTAGATGGCCTGAGGAAACTCTTCCATGAGGTTTGCCATCATGGGCAGTTGGCACGCAAGGAAAGGAGTACTTTGGAGTCACACATCCTGGGCTTGCTGGTCACTACTCCATTTGCTAGCACTGTGGCCTAGGGCACTGATTGATTTCTGTGGTCTGGCTTCTCCATCTGTAGAACAGGGTAACTGGCCAACTTGCAGAGCTGTGGTAGCTAATAGGAACAATGTCTATTTGACATTGTTTCTTCCTTTGAGCACTCAAATAATAGGTGGTATTATAATTATTAATTTTAAGATTTTTCTTCATGGCAACTATCGATCTCCACAACATTTGTAACTAGAATTATGCAATTTAAGTGAAATATGACTAGTAGAGTTCAGCACTTTTTTTAAAAAAAACAGCATAGGCTTTTTAAATATTTTTTTGGTAAAAGTGAGCAGTAACTATCTTCAGGGACATCCATTGACTAAAGGGTCGAGCAGTGTAGGTTAGCTTGTAATAATACTGGGTTTTTTTTTTTTTTTTTTTTTTTTTAAGCTGTGAATAAAAAGGCTGGCGTAGTGGCTGATTATGTGAAGAGAAATCACATTGGCATTGGTAGGCTGTTAGCTTGGTGATGGTTAAAACACAGCCCTGCCCAGCAGTCAGGTTCTGCCGTGTCATGTGGAACTTTCTGACTTCCCCTTGTGTCTCAGTTGTCCAGGTGTTGGGGTCCCGCTGAGCCACAGGTAACTCCTAAGGAGGTCGGAGCTGGTGAGATGAAGGTGCTTGAGTAAGACCCAACATCCACCGAAACCATGTTCCTAACAACTCTGGTGTTTGTTCATGGGCAAAGCAAACACAGCATCCGATCTTAGACAAGGACAGTGGGTTTTAGGGAGAGTAGGCCATACAGCTAAACTTAACCTGTTCCAACTTTTAAACAAAATATCAAAACAAGCACCACATGTACTCACCAGCAAATTGGTATTAATGGAACAACACCTAAGTGGACATACAGGAAAAACAATTATTGGGTGTTGGGCAGATGGGAGGGGGGAGAAGGGGTTGGGTATATACAAACACAATGAGTGAGATGTGCAATGTTTGGGGGATGGTCATGCTTAAAGCTCTGACTCGAGGGGGGAGGGGGGCATGGGCAATATATGTAACCTTAACATTTGTACCCCATAATATGCTGAAATAAAAAAAAAGAAAAAAAAAAAGGAGTATGAATTTAGATTCCTATAGATTATTCCATTTTAGGCCCTTTCAAAATAATCATATCATTTTCTTAAAGCATATTTTATATTTCAAGAGGATTCTAGAGATTAACTTCTTATAGAACATTCCAGACTTAATTTAGTTTGGAAAGGTTAAGAATGAGAACGCACAAGCCCATTTTGACTGGCCTGCCTCAGAGTCCCTGCTTAGTCCCAGATGGTGCCTTATAAAGTGGCTCTGACATTCTACCAGTTTATTAGTAGCTCTGAGGCAGTGAAAGATCTGGGCTGGAGCATTTCTGTGGACAAATTGCACCCCATGTCGTTGATCTGCTTTTACAGCCAGGCTTGACACATTCACCGTTTTCCTCCTGTTCCCTGCTTCCTTAGCCTCTGAGATTTACGGCTTTTAAAACTCTAGCACTCTTTTCTGCCCCTTGCCTTTAAGTTAAAAGCTGACCAGTCTGTAATATAAAACATAGAATTATGGTAATGAATAAGAGGTTAAAAGCTATCATGGCAAGTAAAACTTGAGCAGGTTTGGCTGACTGATATGGTAAAATTATGTGTTGAATTAAAACATTAAAATGCTGTGGGATTAATGGGGAAAGACAAGAACGGGAGGTCAGAAACAATGCTAAATCAGCACATTAACTGCCTGTGGGCTGGAGAGGAGAGCTTTAATATATGCTTGTTGCAGGAAAGAAGAAGAAAAGTAATTTAGTCTTTGTTTTCTTCAGGTGAGTAGAATAATGGAATTTTTAATCTGGGAAGCACCCAGTAAATACATTTATTTCCATTCCTTTCTTATATAGGGGAAGAAATAGAGACTGCAAAAGGTTTTTTAGTTAACAAAAAGCATTGACTTTGCAATTGGGATTTTTTAACTTTACGAGTGAGTTTTATTATGCTGCTGGCATTCATTTGTTTGTGCATTCAGTTCATTTGACAAATCGAGAGTACATCCTGTCTTAGGTAGGCTGCAAAGTGCTGGGAATTTCGTGTAGGATAACACAGATGAGGCTGCTGTCCTTGGGCACATAGGAGTCTTGGGCTACTACAAAGAAGCAAGTAGTGATATACCGTGGAGTGAGGGCTGTGGATCTTGACACCAGGGAGACCAACTGGGGCTTGGGACAAAAGGAGGCATGTTTCTGGAAGAATGGAGGTCTAAGCTGAGATTGGTAAGGTAGATGGCAGTTAGCCTGGCAAGGGAGATTGGAAGAAGAGCTTCCCAGAAAGACAGCACAGTATATGCAAAGGCACAGAGAGGAGAAGAGAGCACAGTCCCTCTGAGAAACTCGACAAGGATGAAAAGTGTCAGTGATGTCACATGATGAGGCTAGAGCAGAGGGCAGGCAGAGGTCACAGAGCTATTAGATTCCATCTCATGCAAATGAAAATGGCAGCTCCTCTCTGGGCACAAACACAATAGTGTCTTGGCTATTTCTATTTCCATAATGTAAATCTTGCCATCACAGTGGAGCTCCTACTCACTGAATTTTCTAATAGCTGACATTGGAATGAGAATTTTCTGAATGACCATCCGAACCTGGTTAGTCCCCTTACATGTGAAGTCACACATGGTGCCGTGAGAACAGACCTGATTTGTTAATGCTCATTCATTGCATTTCTTACAAAGATGCTCTAAGTATCTGCTTTTCATTTGTTTCTGTCAGACTGAAGAGCAATTTTATAAGTTTTATTGCTTTATCAGTTTTTATTAGCAAACAGGTCATTGGCTATTTTGGCCAGAGTTGCTTTGGCTGTGGTGAGTTAAAAATTATTTTTAAAAAGTTATTAGGTTGATATCTTAGATACTTCCACTTTCATTAATGTTTGTTTTATCTGCAACCAGCCTTGTAAATTAAAAAAAAAAAAACAACTTCCATTGGTATAATTTTCCACAGCTACATTAGTAGTATTTCTGCAGGTCAGAAGTAGATAAACTAGCTCCCATGGGCCAAATCCAGATGCCTGTTTGTTTTTGTAAATAAAGTTTTATTGGAAAACAATCTTGTTCCTTTGTTTACATTATCTGTTAGAGCTTTCATGCTACAAGGACAGTGTTGAGTAGCTGCAACAGAAACCACATGGCCCACAAACCAAGTATATTTACTTTTTTGCCCTTCACAGAAATAAACATAGCCTAGGTGTGAGAAAATTCTGGGTCCTGCCCATAAGAGCTAGAGGCTAATCCTGTGCCCTGCCCATAACAGGTAGCTAAAGAGATGGCAGAAAGCCTTGGAAAAAAACCCAAGATATTAGAGGTCCTCAGTAGTGACTTGAAAATTGTAAGAGACCAGCCAAATTATTTATTAATATTATTTTCTTGGAGAAAAATCTGATACACTAATGGAAAGTGGAAAAGAAGAAGCAACCTGGATTATCCTTTCAAGATTTTTCATATTAAAGATGTTTTTAACAAATGTATTATAGAATGTTTACATCTTAAAGATTTTACATTTTAGTCCATTTATCTTTGAACCTAAGAAAAGTCACACAAAAAAAGATTTTGTTCTTTGATTCTTAACTGTCTTTCAGAAGGTTGGATGAGTATTGTTGGTAAAAGTGTCTGCAGTTCAGGGAAAAAAAAAAGTCCTTTTGCAGGAAAAAAAAAATTCTGCTGCTGCTTTTGCTGATAATGCAGTAGCCCCTTCCTAGCTTAGGGTTAATGCAAATAATTCTCCCAGTCTCTGGCTAACATCCAGAGCTTCTGGTTCTCCTTCAAACTTAGGATGAACTTGAGCAACTGGGGTTGAAATAGGATAAAACAGGAAGGCCGAACGGGAAAGGGTTTTGTATGAAATACATTTCTTCTTTGTCCCATCTTTCCTTCTTTCTTACAGGAACGTAAGAATAAATGGGGAAGCCAGGTGTGTAGAAGAGATATAGAAAGTTTATGGAAAGCCATCTTTGTAGGGGAGCTAAGAAGGTAGCTTTAAAATTAATTCTTAAGACTTACACAGCAAATCACATGGTGGGTCAGGAACCCTCATCAGCTGGGTCATAACCCATGTGCCAAAGACCAAGTTTTAATTTTGATTGACATGATGTGATAGATCAATTTAATTTGCTCTGTAAGGTCACTAAGAATGTAAAAATGAGTTTTTGGCTGAATTCACTTACTAGGTAATGAAGAATGTAGGATCAATTAAGTTGATGCCAGAATCCTCAACCTGTTGTTTATGGGGCTCTGATAGCTAAACTAGGCAGAGCTATTTTGCTTGCAGGTGTTCTTTCCTAGTTAATGAATACTCTTTAAAAATGAGATAAGGGTAAAACTTTCAAATTGGACAGAAAAGACTGAGAAGTTTAAGATAATGTATAATTTCTGAGAAGAAACCCAGTATTTACTTTGCATTTCATCTGGTACGTGGTTTAGCTTTTGTTTAAAATAACGAAATGCCCTGTTCCAGTAAATTGTGCATTTAAACAGTCGCTAGGGGAGTTTGAAGTTATTCTAAATATGCTAATGGTGCTCACAGCATTATTAGATTACTTTTTGGAATTAATGTCAGGTCCATTTTGAATTATCCAAGAAAAATTTTATTATTTCCTACTTAAGCATTATTTTTGACCCTCAAGCATCATTAGTTCTCACTCAGAGCACTTGTCTCTAAATAACTTTTGGTTATTCAAAAAACAAACACAGCTACCACCACCACAACAAAGAAGGTAAACATTCAAGGGACAAATATAAACTGCCATTATTAATGGTGTTAAAAAGAGTGTGTCTTGAATTGGTTATTGCTCATTTGGAATAAAGTGACTACCAGAAAAAATTCTCACAAATTTGGCTCTTTCCATAAGAAAGAGCTTTATTTGAAAGTGCATATATCACTGCAAAATAATGCTTAGCAAAGTATTCCTAAGCAGATGTACTACTATAATATTAGTTAAGAATATGTGAGTACTTATTTTCCTAGAAATGACATAGTTAAATCCCTTGAAATTTTTTCGTTCCAAGAAAATATGATTTCCCAGTAACAATTGTTTATGAAATAAAAATATTTAGTAAACCTGTCTTTTCACAGAGAGTAGTAAACTTTAAAAGGTTCCTTATTGCCACAGGGAAAAAAAGTTTTGATTCAAATCAGAGGATTATTTTAAAATGTTACTATACTTTTTGTATATTAATACACATTTTGTATATATTGTATGCCTCCAATAGAAATACTTGATGAATTTATTATATGCAAAAGCCCTAATCACCACTTTTTGCCCTAACTGGAATCACTTTTGGTAAATAGGAAATAAATGCCTGTGTATCCTTAATTTTATAGGCACATGTCAGTATGTAAATATTTTTAAATTACATAATAAAATGTGGTATAGAGTTTTAATATATATATTTCTTTTTAATTGGGAAGTGGATTGCAAACTTTCTCTCAGATTTATTAAACTGGAAATTTTTATCCAAGTGGCTCAAACTTGTCATTGCTTTATATATTATGTAAGTTTGCCTATTTGTAATTATCTGCAAACATACAAAGTTCATTGAAGATTTAGGGTAAGAATCCATCTTTATTATTTATTGTGGGGCAAACATCCTTTATCCCACAATAAATAGTAGTGCATCCTCCTTTTCTGAAGTCTTGAATATTCCTCTTAGTCAAGAATTAGGGAGGACAAATGAGAACTGAAAAAGAATTACATCTAGAAACTACCACGCTGGCCCTCTCCCTCCACTCAACCCCACCTGCTTCACCCTCCTGCATGCATAAACACAGCAGGTGTGGTCCAGGCAAACCCACAGTTGTCAGTATTAAAGCAAATAAATAACTTAGCACCTTAGCCCCCTGTTTTTGGTGTTTGCTTCTGTATTTAAATGTGTTTGAGGTTTTCAACATCTCTGGAACATTGGCTGTTAAGAGGCAGAAAACATGCAATATATAGCAGATGGGTACGGCCTTTGCTGGCAGTGCTGCTGAAATGGGATCAATCAACAGCACTTCATGCTCCATTTGTCCAAAAGAAACCCACCTGGGGAAACCCTGTGGAATGGTGCCTATTAGGAAAACACCTTAGCACGTTTCTTTAAATAAAAATTCACCAGTTAGCATTCGTTGGGAAGAAAATGGTTTCTCTTTTAACGCTTTTCTGCTTTCATTTCTCATGTCTTTTTTTCCTTTGTTTTTTGAACCATGATCTTTTATTCTCTTCACTCATTAAAGACACAGAGCAGGGAAGCCATATACAGCTCTCACCCTTAATGCTTAAACTTTGAAACTTTTCTTCTCCCTAATTCTTGTTCTCATTGTCTTCTTTCTGCAGATCTTCTCTGGCGAAGACCTGACTCTTCTCTTTTCATTTGCCATCCCCTCATGCCGCCTTCTCTTTGATTTTCTGTACCTCGTTCCCTCCTTAATTTTAGAGTGTGTTAGGCTGGAAGTGTGCATTACGAGCCCTGAGACCCTCACTGCTCAATAAACCCCGGGGCCCAGACAGAGTGAGGGTCGGGCGATGATGAAATAAAAGCCAGGTGCTTTGGAGGTTCTGCAGTGGCCTCGAGTTAATCACTTTTTTTTTCTTTCTTCTCTCTCTGATTCCTGGAACTTTTCTAGGTGTAAAGTGGATATCTCGGCACTCCCTCTGAAGCAAGCCAACTGCTTGGAGCTGCCGCTGGAGAGCTGTCTGGGGGCCCTCCTCATGTTGGTCACACTTACGCCCTGTGCGGGCGTCTCCGTCTCTGATCTGTGTGTGTGCCCCTTAGCAGACCCCAGCGAGAGAAAGCAGATTTCCCAGCGATATGTGAGTGCTTTGTCTTACTACCCCATTCCCCCACACCCCCGCTCCCACCCTCCCTTTTATTAAAACAAAGTCTTTGTTGAAACAAAGTCTCCAAGTTGAAAAACTGCATCAAAAGAGATCTTTGTCCCAAGTTTAATTATATGTCATAAAACAAGACATCAGACCTAGGGGTTAACGTGTTAGTGAAGGGGTGAAAGTAGACTCAAGAGTTTGCCTCGCTATTTTCAAAGCTGAAAAGATATTTGGAATTTTTAGCTTTTAGGGAGTCTTTGGAAAACATTGAAATCCTCGGCAGAGCAGACTCTTGCTTAACGTGTCTGTGTATGTAAATAGGAATTTTAATATAAGTTCACAAAAGTAACTTTTCTTTTTAACCAAGCATTAATATTTGCAATGTTACAGATACCTTTGCAGAACTTTTTAGAACTGAGTAAGAACCTACTCGTGCCTTGTAAAGCAGTAGCACTAGACAGGCAGGAAGGACGGTGTACGAACAGACTGTACTACCCTGGATGATAGTAGCAGTGTATGGTTTCTCCCTAAGTGGTTGCAATGTGCTTAACAGTCCACTCAGCATTTTTAAATCAAATAGCTGTGTCCCCTTCATATATTTTTTGTACTCTGGCTTTCTAGGTGCCTTTATTTGCATTCTGTTTTTTCTTCCTATCTTCTTTGTAAATCAATATGCTTATTTTATTACCACACAGGGAAGGCAGGTTTCAGGACAGTGGCATGGAAATGAAGCAAAGATGAATCCTTTTTCAATGGCAGTATCATTCTCGGCATAAACTTTAGTGTCTCCAGAATCCTTCACTGTGTAGATGTATTGATTAATTGAATAATTCTTTATCTTCGAAAGTACAAGACCTAGCCCCATAGCTCATTGTCAAGGCAGATTTTGTGTGTGCCAGGTTGACATACTCTGAATAAGGTTTGACTCAATTCACTGTTTTCTCTGAAGACTGTAGTTTAAACATTTGAAAATTAGACAGTGAATTTGCCCAAGTGTTGCCATGAATAACTGCAAAATTTACCAAATTCATCAGGAGTGTTGTGTATTTATAATGTAATGTTAGATATCATCCTAATGGCTGCTTTGAATAATGCCTTAGAATTTGAGGATTAATAATTGAAAAGAGGTTTGAAGAGGCTATAATCAAAATAGAAATATTGAGTGTTTCTTCAGCTGGCAAGCTGGCCCCAGCATGTTAGGGGGAAGAATGCTGTGTCACAAAACACAAGTTACAGCCTCCTGGATTTTGTTTTTTAGGTTGTAAGAACAGTTTTTTAGGTTGTAAGAACAGATATTCTGTAAAGGCATTTCTACCTCTAAATTGTAAATGTATTTTATTTCAAATGCTTTCTCTTACCTTGAAAACTAGCTGTTTTGTTTGTTAGCTGGTTTAGCTTGAAGAAACAGAAAAAACAACTTTCAAAAAGTTTCTAGGAATGATGCATGTTAGATTAGGCAAACCTGAACTATTATTAAGCTTTTGTTATTCTACCTGAAATGCATAAATAACAAGGATTTTACTGTCTTCCCATAAATCCCTGAGGTCTGCTTATCATTGGTTTTTAGCTGTCTAATAATGAGGAAAACAGTATATTCAAAGTTTTTGAAGCAGCACCTTTTTCAGTAGATGGTGTTCTGAGCTGGAGAAGAGAGTTTATCTGCTGATCTCTTTCATGCACAATTTCTTAGAGATGCCATGTATGTATATAGCCAAATATTGCTATGTATATTTAAGAATGACCAGTGGATATGTTCAGTCTTTGGCTCATGCAAACAACAGGTTAAAGTATATATGAATACAGGATGATACTAGGTGCTCCATCTCTAGTTTAATGAACTGGCTAACCACATAGATCAGAAAATTCAGTCTATTTCATCCCAACTCTCTTTCCACTGCTAATAAATATCTATGATGGGTCCAAGTTTAGTCCTCTGGTATCCATACAGTTTGTACTAACTAGGTCAGGATAACGTTGCCTTTCAGGGTGATTTAAAAGTTGCAGTAAAGAGAAAGAAGGGGGAAGAAAAGAGAATGAATGTAGCTCTACACACACATTTTCCCGGTGGGATATCTGTGCTATCACCAGGGGGCGATGTTAAAAGTAGATTGTATGTGCTTCTAATTGGTTTATTTTAAAGCTGTAGCTAATTAATTCTCAGTCACTTTTCTTTTAATCTGGCTGCTACAAATGCCTCACTTTCCTATTGACTGACATCATGCATTTTTTGGAATGTTTTAAAGATTCCATGAGAAAGGGGAAGATAAATCTAGAATGTACTTCCCCATAGAACTTTATGGAATTAAGTAGTATATTAGAAAGCTGTGTTCATTTATGATCTCCTTTTCAACCTTCAGTGTTTACAGAACTCCCTCAAAGATATGAAGGACGTTGGCCTTTTACAAGTGAAGGTTTTAAAGGCAGTCGATCTCGTAGCGGCGGATTTCTCAGGTATAGACCATTTCCATTTTCTAATTCTTTTTTATTTCTTATTTATTTCCTGCTTTGACATAATCTTCTGACCCAGCAAAATGCTTAATAAGAAGTATCTATGCAGCAATCATGCTTCTTCACCTACAATCATAGCAGAAAAGATGCATACTTGAGCAATGTCTTTCACGTAATGCCCATTTTTCACAAAATTATTTTTTTTTTTTCCAAATAATTTACTCTGCTTCTTCGATAATGTACTAGCCCATTTGGGCTTCAAAGATACTTGTGGATAATTAGCGTCAGGACTTCTTTGTTTGTTAAATAAAGTTTTTGGCTAAGCTTTTCTATTGTACCTCAAAGGACAGTCACTTGCTCTCCTTCACTCTGCTGCTGTGTGTGCTCACTGAGCGTGTTCCACCCTTCACAGCAGGGAGCACATTGTTCATGAACACAAGCAGGAAGGCAGACCTGGCTGGCACCCCACTGGATGACAGCCAGAGTTCTTTTAGGCCCTGGGACCACGTTGGGGTTGATGTTGTCTCATAGGTCGTTTCTCTTGGTGTTTCACTGACTTGAACTTTCAGATGGAGAACCAGGGCAGACATGGTTTGTGCTGAATCACGCTCCGCTGCGTGTAGAGTAATCCACACATTTCCCATGTCTGATCTGTGACTCTCCACTCATTGCCAAGTTGCCCTCTTGTGCTAACAGTTTAGCCGCCTGCAGGACAGATGCTGTTTACCAAGTAAATTGGTGAATACAAGGAGTATGCTACAGCATGGTTCTATCTATTGATATGGTATTGTGTGTGTGGCTTTTTTGTGTCTCATATTTTTAGAATGTCATCTACTCTTTTACTTCCTTCCATACAAAAATGATTTTACCATTTTACTGTATTGGTAGAACCTTGAAATTTCTGAGACTGAGTTTGAGGAAAAACTTAACCTTTGGAAAACAGAATTTTATTTTAAGTACATTATATTATAGAAATTATGGAAAATATAAATTTAGTTGGAAAAAAAAGTGCTTTCCACCCTCTCTCAAAAAATGAATGAATAGAAATGACTGCTTTACATAGTGATCCTGACCAGTGAGCAGACCCCAAAATGATTTTTGGGCCACTTGGAAGATATAAATTTTGACAATTATAGATGAAACACTCAAATGGTTACTTCTTACATTCATTAATATAGTTGTGAATGTTTATAGTCTCATATTAGCTTAGAAATTCTTTTGTTTACTTATATTTTATGAAAACATTCAACATTTCACATGTGCCTTCGACATTAGAGGCTCTGTCATCCCTAAAGCACATTTAGAGTTATCTACCAGTTTTCCAGAGCAAATTATTTTGACTTCCACCTAAGTGTTTAGGGACAGCACCTTTTGAATCCATGATTGTTACTGTCTTAGGAACTGTCTCAAGCCCTAAGAAGTCATTTATGCCTTCCAGCAGGATTTAAAAAAAATACTTTTCATAAGTTAAATATTTTGTGATCTCCAGAAACTAATTCTAATGCATTAAAAGTTTGTGGTTTTTGTATTTTTTTAAGGTTTATTTATAGCAACAATCTGAAAAATGAGTCTTTATAAAGACCCTCCTTATGGGAGAAGAATTGTGGGGAAAATGTTGTTATTTTGTTGTTTTCTTTATATTCAGGGTATTTAGTAGACAGTTTTGGAGTAAATGAAGGTAAGTACTAAGGAATTCCAGTAACAAAAAACAGTGATTAGAAATGAAATAATGCTGTGTGGTTTGACTAAATGCCCTGATGTTTTACTATCTCTGTATTATTCATGAGAAAATTATCACTATTCTGAATTGAGGCCTAGTGATTTGTCATTAGCTAAACATGCCTTTCGACCATATTGATCTTTGTTTTTGAATCAGATTTCACTGTCTGTAATCTTTGTACATGGGCAGGCTCCTGTATGAATTTCTTAGTGTGTCCCCAACCAAGGCGTTGCTTTAGGGCTACAAAGTGGACCTAATCCAGACAGTTGTAATGCAGCTTTTCTATGTGAAAAAAGAAATGGATTTGGACTATAGTGAGGTGGCGATATGGATGCAATTAATACCCTCAAGGGCAGGCGTTCTCAAACTACGGCCTGTGGGTCACATGCAGATGTTTTAGCCCGTTTGTTTTTTAACTTCAAAATAAGATACATGCAGTGTGCATAGGAATTTGTTCATAGTTTTTTTTAAACTATAGTCTGGCTCTCCAGCGGTCTGAGGGACAGTGAACTGGACCCTTGTTTAAAAAGTTTGAGGACCCCTGCTCAAGAGGTTAGCAATCATGACATATAGTAAGAACTCGGGCATTATAGCTGTTGTCATTATCATTACCAATTCACTTGCTATACAGTAAAACAACAACAACAAAACAAACAACCGCCCCCCAAACACCAGTGTCATTTGATCATGGATCAGAAGAGGCATCCGTTTGTTGTCAATGCCAGGAACATTTAAGAAATAAGTAACTATTCTTATTCTATATCCGGCATTTTCCATCAGCCTTATTTTATAAATGAGTGTTCATTTATTGCAAATGCTCAGAGAACAGAGCACTCCCATGCAAATAAGAAAGAAATGCATTTATTCTGAACAACCAGGGACATTCTCTAAAGAATGATGATAATTTTAAATGGGGTTCAGAAAGGGAACTTTTCCACTTTTCTTTCATTACGTATTTTATTTTGTGGTAATTGTTTCTTAAAAAGAATACAAAGTTGCCATAATAACAGATGCTTTAAGTTTGTTTCAGCTAGGATCCAGGAATCTGGGTAAAGTAAAAGTCCGGGCTGGGGTGGACAGGCCTTGGCAATAGTCCGTATAGAGTTTGCAGTTTCTGTTTGCAGAGCACAGGCACCGTCTGGACTAGAGGAGGAAGGAATGTATGTGGTGAACCCTGTTGTCAGTGGCTTATTAGGTTTAAAGCAATCTATCTCTTTGCAAGTAACAATTAGAAAAAGAAAATATAGGTCGTTCAATCCACTGTGATCAAATTAGAAGAATACTCCCCCTTAATCTTTATTGATATTATGATTATATGATCATAGAAAGAGATTGAAATAAACTTTGGAAAAATTAAACACTCATTACTATGCTAATATTTTAGAAAACTGGAATAGAATATACTAAAGTGAATTTCTTTTCCGTAAAAATTTTTTATATAAAGGAAGAAAATTAGTCTGCATTTTCAAATGTGTTAAAAATATTGCCAACATAAGTCTATATTACCAGTATTAAGATATTTATCAAAGATGAAGGCTATAATTTTCTAATGTGTAAAAATCATATGTTTATTATTTGTAAATTATTAATTCATTCTTGTATAGATATGCCATTTTACTGTGTGAAGCTATTTCTAATACATTTAAGTTTGTATATATCTTGGGTGTTTTTTTTTTTAACATTTCTGTGATTTTGTATATAAGAGAGAAGATTTTTGGTTTTTTACAAAGAATCTGAAGTAATCTATCTTCTCTCAGAGCCCCTCCCTCTAAAATTGGTGAAAGATAAAATGTTTTCAAGTCTATGCCAACATTTCATGTGGATAGCCATGAACAGTTATTCTAATAGAAGAGCTTGTCAGATATTTTTATTAAAGAGTTTTCCTCACAAATTCATTGTGCCCAGCATAACCTAAAATTTCTAAGTAATAGGTTATCCAGTCTGATGTCATTACTTTTGTAGTAAACCAGGCCACAGCCTTGATTCATGAAGCAAATGATAAATTGTACTTTGAGTCTCAAGGTGAACACAGCTGTGTGTAATGTTTAATGAGACCAACATATTTCACTCAGCTGCTGCTAGTCTTCAAACTCAGCTATTTTAAGAAGAACATAACCCACATTCTAATGATTAAATGAGAGAGGAAAACATTTTTGTTCTAGACAAAGCTGAGAAATGGTTAGTACAACAGGTTCTCTATTTACAGTAGAAGCCCAGACAGAGAGTGATGCAGTATATTCTACTTGGCCTGGGACATATCACACTCATGAATTACTGCTGCTGCCAGAAAATACAGAGTTTGTCTCATAACTACTAAAGGAGAATAAATAAACAGTGGGGTAATAGTAAAATATTAGAGAATCAAACTATTTTCTGGTAAGAATTGTATCATATTTCAGTATAAATGGCAATACTTACCTATTGACAGATATCAGCCAATGAAGAGCAGGAAACTGTCTCACTATGCTCAGCTCATATATGCAGAATTTTTAAGTGTGGCCTCATTATAATTGATAGAATGTTGTGGAGAATCTGCTGGAATTGTACCATGTGTGGGTTAATTCAGCTTGTCAGTATTGAAACCATTGTGGCCACCACTGGCATCACACATATGCTAACATTCAACACTTAGTCAATGACTCTTCCTAGCATTCTTAGAATTAAAATATGGTTTCCTATACCAACCTTCCTGTTCATTCAGCTTTCTCTTTATTAATTTTGTTCTTTAAAATAATTCTTGTAGAGTGACTACCCTAAAGATTCTTCCAGTGGCAACACTGATTATTCTCTGATCTCTCCTTTTTATTCCTTTAACCTTTACCCTGTTACCCCCTACTGGGGTGCCCCTTACCCACTAAGAATCCTGGCATAATACAGGGGAAATAGAAACATAGGAGAGTTTTCTTAAACTTGCCATGCCAGCAGTAGGAAAAGTTCAGGGAGAGCAGCATTCCAAGTATAGCTCAGTGGAGGATGAGATTAAGTATTTTACTAATATAACTCAACATAATAGGTCTCAATATCTCTTCTTTTTGTAGCACAATCCCATCTTCATTTTTGCTATTCCTATCATTCCAACAATGTGCATGTCATGATGAGAAGTTGGGGAATTGTCAAGGGGGAGTGAAGGAACAAAACTGGAAATACCAAGTTGACTCACGATTTGAAGTTACTTCTCCAGAACTTGATAGGGTGTTTTATTTCACCCTTGAGAGTTTTTGGCTCAGTGAGTGGACACATCCTTAGGGAGCTTAGGATCTGAAAAAGAGAGCTCTATCTTCCT